CCAGGGCCGGGAGGGAGGGCACCTGGGCTGGCTTCACAAAGGCCTCTGCAGGGGCTCTGGGAGGCGTGTGCAGTGGCCTCCGCTGCGCCCGCCCGAGCCTGGGCCTCACCCCTGCCTGTCTGCCCTCAGCTCAGTCAGCACCATCCGGAACCAGCGGTACCACATCCACGCCAACCTGTCCTTTGCGGTCCTGGTGGCCCAGGTCCTGCTGCTTGTCAGCTTCCACTGCCAGCCGGGCACAGTGAGTCTCTTCTCTGCCCCACGGGGCTCCCCTTCCTCCGCTTGCTGGAATTCCTCAACTCAGAATTCAGACATATCCCCCCAGAAAGCCCACGGTTCCTCCCCAGAGACAGAGAAGATGATGTGCAGGTCTGCTTCCTCTGTTCAACATCCAGGTAGAAGGTGTAGCCAGCTAACACCATCAGGTGGACCAGTGCAAGTCCCAGAACCCAGGGTGTAAGCCGTGTCACAGGGCTGCTTCCTCTGTCCCTCAGTCCCACCCTCCCAGCTCTACCCCCACCCTGGGGCCAAGATGACTTCCAAAGCCCTAGGCGCCTGTCCTTGTGTCTGGAGGGAGGCTGGAAACCTCGCTCCCTGGTGGCCCCGCCCACCCTGGAACCCACCCCATTGGACCAGATGAGTCATGTGCCGACCCCTGAGCCAGTCCTGTTGCAGAGGATGAGGATGTTTATGCTGACTGGCCGGGCCCCAACCCACACTATCACTGTGCCTGGGAGGGGGCATGGAGCAGTGACGGGTGACCCCTGAATCATGTGCCCAAATCCCTCAGACTAGAAAGGGGGCCATGACTCCCAGGAAGAAAATGAGGAGACGTGGCCAGAAGACGCCCCCAGAAAAGGATGCTGGGAGGCTGAGACAGCCCAGGGAGGTCTCACCGGCTGCCCCTCTGCTCTGCCCCCAGGTCCCGTGCCAGGTGCTGGCCATGCTCCTGCACTTCTTCTTCCTGAGCGCCTTTGCGTGGATGCTGGTGGAGGGCCTGCATCTCTACAGCATGGTCATCAAGGTCTTCGGCTCGGAGGACAGCAAGCACCTGTACTACTACGGGATAGGATGGGGTAGGTGGGGCTAGGATGGGGT